GCCGGCGCTGGCCGGGGCCTTCCTGTGGGAGGCGGAGCGGATCCGCGAGGAGGAGCTGCGAAGGTGGGTGCGCGGGGGGCCGCTCGCTGGTCTCGGTAGCCCCGCCCGCTCCTGACGGGGGGCCCGCAGCCCAGGGGCTGGATTCACTGCTCGAGAGAGAGGCCTTGGCGGCCTCCGGGGCACTGTGTGCAGCGGAAGGTAAACAGCCAAGCGGGGTTTGGAATCGTTGGACAAAGGCTAGAGACAGAGACTAGCTTATCGCCTCCGTACGAAACCATGGCGCACCCCGTCCTGAGTACTGCCTACAGACGTTGCTTCATCTAAAAACGATATTGTAGCGTTGGAAAAGGTTCAGAAAAAGGCATCATAAATTATTGGCATTTTGGAATGGGTCCCATATGAAGAGAGATTAAGAAGGTATGGCCTTAACTTGTTTCCATGATATAAGAACTAAAGGTCTCCAACTGAAATTAATAGATAGTAGGTTTAAAACAAACAAAAGCAAGTTTTTCTTCACTGAGCCCACAGTCAACCTGTGGAACTCCTTGCCAGAGCATGTTGTGAAGACTAGGACTTGAACAGAGTTCAGAAAAGAACTAGATAAAATGAGGTTAGTTCCATCAATTACTATTATAGAGAAGTGAATGACTAGTCGACTATCCAATAAGCAAATGCTTATCCGATAGTCGATTCCCCCCTTCTCCTTGGTGCCTCTATCAGAAAGAGGTAGGAAAGGTGGGGATGCTTCAGTCTGCCACTTTTTAAACACTGCATGCAGCCCAGGGTCCCCAACTGTTCCCCGCAGTGTTTTCACCTTTGAAATGTAGGAATAGCCCTGGGGCTGTTGTTACACTTCAAAGGCAGAGGTGCCCTTATTGTCTAATTGATTAGTCAATGCAATTTGCATCTGCTATTCAATTAGCCACTTAATCAAAATTTTACATCCATAGGCTATCAGGTTGGGTAGAAATGGTATCCTTGGCCTCTGTTTGTCTGGAAATAGATGACAGGAGAGGAATCATGTGATGATTACCTGTTGTGTTTACTCGCTCTGGGGCATCTGGCAGTGGCCACTGTCAGCTCTGTTGACTTTTCCCCTACAAATTATATTCATCTGTGTGTTGTATTTCATAAAAGCTTATGCTCTAATAAATTTGTTAGCCTTCAAAATAAAGATATAAAATCCTGTTTTAAAAAGTTAACGTGTTAAACAATATGTTTATTCGGTTAGCTGGGATCCTGCAGGTGGAGGGAGGGGCGCTTCTGCTGACAGTTAACCTGTTTAAATCCCTACTTGAAAGTGCCACCAGAGTCCTTATTGTTTTTGCTGAAACAGACTAACAGAGCTACTTCTCTGAAATCTGATGCAAACTGGTAACTGTACTAACAGAAATGAAGAATTTTTTTCCTGCATGTTCTGGGTTAGCATTTCAAACTAGTTTCATGTGCTTAGCTAGTGATTTATACCAGCTCAGCAGTTTGACTTTCTTTAAAACATCAGCATCAAACATGTATCACTAAGCTATTTTTATTTAATTGACTATAGTAGCATTATACCTTAATATAGGTTTGCATAACTTCAAATTTAACTTGAAATTGGTTTATTATAAAAAAATTATATTGGATTTAAATAAAAATCTGATTTACATTTAAAAAACATTGACTTACCTCCCAGCAGTCCCTGTCTAGCTCTGTGTTTAGTTTACACTGTTACTAGCTAGTCCTGCACGTACCCTTCTGAAAGCTACCATTTTAATTTGTAGGCCTCTGTCTATTGAATACCCTTTATGTGAATGTGTCCTCTGCATAACCTTGTTTTACTATCACATTTCTCGTGAAGTTTTAGATCTGTTCATTAATAAGTGATCTAAAACATTCTAATGAGTAGTGACAAATCTAAATATAGATAAAAAGCTTCAGAGGGGTAGCTGAGTTAGTCTGTACAGGATAAACTTAGACAACAACAAAAAGTCTAGTAAAACATGTAGATGGTATCATGAGCTTTTGGGGGCACAGCCCACTTCTTCAGATGACCGGAGAGTTGGATGCGGAGAACCAATAAAAATAAATAGGGAAGGAGGGAGGGGGTGGCTGGGTATCAGACAAGAATTTGTAGCTGCATTTTTAGACAAGGTTGCCCTGTAGCAGCTTTCTGAATAGGGGCACTTTAAGAGTGTCAGCATGCTGTCATTATCATAGGGGGTTTTATGTACAGTATAACACTAAGCTATATATAAACTTATTTTTTGAAAGAATTAGCACGCAATTAAAAATTATCACAAATACTATAGATCAGTGTTTCTGAAAGTGCTCTGGAAACCACTTTGAGAAACACATTAACTGGCTGCCCCGGTTTGTTTATTATTTGGCACCACAACCACAGAGCCTCGAGGCTCCCATTTGCTCCCTTTCATCCTTTGCAGCCTAGGGAGCCACTGGAAGTTAATGTGTTTCTCAAAGTGGTCTTGCAGAGCACTTTCAGAAACACTGCCATAGATAGTAATGACTGATACTGAACAGTCCTCTTGATTCTATCACTCTGTTTGCTGTTTTACTTTGAGCAAGCCACTTAGGCCAAAATTTTCAAGAGTGACTTCTGACTTTAGGTGTCTAGCTGGAGAAGTCTTTAAAGGAGCCTGATTTTCAGGAAGTGCCGACTGCCTGCTCTTTAAAAAAATCCTTCCCCTTCAAGATGTCTCAAGTTTGACACACACAAAAATCAAGTGCTCCAAACCATTGGGCACTTTTGGAAAATTTTACTTTAGTGTCTTGTGGCACCTTATAGACTAACTGAAGTGTAGGAGCATAAGCATGCATCTGACAAAGTGGGTCTTTGCCCACGAAAGCTTATGCTCCTACACTTCAGTTAGTCTATAAGGTGCCACAGGACTCCTCGTCGCTTTTACTTTAGTGTTTGTTTCCCTACCTTTAAAATTAGGGTAATAGTTATAGTTTCAAGGTAACTGCACCTGTATTCTTGCTCTTGTCCCGCAAAGGACACTCACTTAAGGATTCAGGCTTCCAACCATCACCTCTTGTGAGCAGAGACCCTCTTGTGTGCTTTACCTCAGAGGACTGTGCTGATGTTTTACTAGTGACCAGGCAGCTCTTCTGAAACAAGTATATGTATTAGTAGGGCAAAAGCATTACAGAAAAAGCATAAACAATAAACACAGAGACAGCAGAGGATGAACATCGAACATGCTGATACATTCTCAGTATTAGTAGGGTGGATCAATTAATAAATCCTGCTGCACAGCAGTCCAGAAATAAAGGCTTACCTTATGTAGATAAAGCACTGTAAGCTCTTCAGATGAAAGGTATCATCAGAGGGCATGGTATTCTCTGCTGTTAAGTAGTGTTGCAAAACTGTTCAAGATGCTTTCAGCCACATACTGCACAGGTCAGTGCACTGAATTCGCTCGGCTATTTGGGGGTTGCATAAGGCATTTGTGAGGCTTTCTCTGCTAGAGTAGAAATGATGGTTGTTCCGCAAGGTGGCTGGTACATGGTCTGGCATGTAAGTAATAGCTTTTGAAAAACTAGGTAGTGTGGGGTGACTGCAGAAATGGAACAGAATTAAGATTGGAATTGGAAACCTTAATTCAGTCCAGATGTTTAGTTTTCAGTCTGCAATGTGCTACCCTGCCCCCCTCCGCCCCCCCACAGAGCTTGTTTTTTGTGTTGGAATTAAAATAATGTACAAACTAACTTTACCTAAGTGAAGCTAGGTAGCAAAAGCTGCCTGACGGTTTTGGAAAACTCACACTGCTGAGAAACTGCTGCAGTAACTCAGAAGATAAATTTCTCAGAATCTGCTAAAAACACCTTATAGACTAACTGAAGTATAGGAGCATAAGCTTTCGTGGACAAAGACCCACTTTGCATGCATCTGACAAAGTGGGTCTTTGCCCACGAAAGCTTATGCTCCTACACTTCAGTTAGTCTATAAGGTGCCACAGGACTCCTCGCCACTTTTGCAGATTCAGACTAACACGGCTACCCCTCTGATGCTAAAAACTTGTCTCAGGTGGCTAAGAAAACAGTCATTTCCCTCTCTGTTTCCATCTAAAGCTCTTTCTGTTACTAGCTATATCTGAGAGTGATAAACTCTCTCCTGACCCCTAGAATTCCTTTGCCTGACATCTGCTACTTAACTGAGTGCAAGTAAATGCATTGTGGATTTAAAATATCTTCACTCTAGGCCACTTGTGTCCCCCCCTTCTCTGTTATGCTCTCAGTTCACTCATCTCTCTGTAATGAACTAAATGCCAGTAACACGATAACCTACTTTAACTTCCCAAAGTTGTTAGCCTATTTAGGGCTCTCTGTTTATCTCTCTAGAACAGTGTTTCCCAATGTTATTTGGCCACGGAACCCCTAGAGTTGCCTTTTAAAAAAAAAAAAAAAAAAAAAAGGCCCCTGCCACATTTCGTTGAGCAAAAATAATAATAATAATAAAATGGCTCTGTCTCTTTAACAGAGGGCGGGGGAGTGCCAGCTCTTCGCGGAACCCTTGCTTTCGCTTTGCGGATCCCCAGGGTTCCCCGGAGCACCAATTGGGAAACATTGCTCTAGAAGATTATGTGGTAACAGGAATGTCCCCCTGTAAACTCTTCAAACAATAGCTCGCTGTGCCTTGTTCTTGTGCCCCACCGGCTCACCTGTACCACTGATTTCAGTAGGATTTTCTATTGCAAGAATGATGCCTTGGGGGAGGGTTAGTTCAGTGGTTTGAGCAGTGGCCTGCTAAACCCAGGGTTGTGAGCTCAATCCTTGAGGTAGCCAGTTAGGGATCTGGGGCAAATCTGTCAGGAATGGTACTTGATCTTGCCATGAGGGCAGGGGACTGGACTTGATGACCTCTCAAGGTCCCTTCTAGTTCTATGAGATAGGTATATCTCCATATAATCTAATGGTAAGCAAGGCTCTGCCTCTGGAGTGCAGTTTGTCTTGGCAAGCCTCTGCATATCTCTCTGTTTGCCTGCTGTATATAATTCCCACATTCTCTCTTGTAAAGCTCTGTTCCACTGCCCCCTGTAAAAGATTATATGGAAGAACAGCACTAGTTACGGCTGGCATTCTCAAAGTCTTGGTGTGTTCTATGGAAACCTCTCTTCTTGCACCTAATGAGTGGGCAACTCACCTTTCATATTACACTTGGTACGACGTGCCGTCCTGCAGTACCTAGAGCAAATGTCTACCAGGGACAATAATCTTAGGGCAGTGTTGGACTGTGAGTTACCTCTTCGTGAAGAGTAGCAGCAGGAGATGAGAAGCACCCAGCACCTTAGGATCATCAGTCTTTGTAGACCTCTTGCAAGTGACTTAGAAACGAGTGAACTACAATGACAGGCTTCATCCTCAGTTTCCTTGGCTCTGGAACTCAGACTTTTAATACTAACTTAGCACTGAATGTGAGGCCTTTTATAGAGAATAAAATGACTGGCTGAACTAGTGCCTGAGTTGAGGCTGTATAAACAATCTTAAGTAGGTCTGTACTGAATATTCATTAGAAGTTATTTCTCCCCTTCTCCTTTCCCCATTTGTGTCTGTACAGTAGAGTTTGATTATCTTCTTGCATGCTTTTTCTTAGTGAATGGACTGTTCATGAATAATGGCCTTGCCACAGCTGAGGATGTAATGAAGAGAAATGAACATGGTGTACAGACTATCTGACCTATATTCACAGTGAAAGATTGTGAGTGATGGGTCATCTGTTACATATTTGAAAGCTTCCACTGCTGAGCCTTCAGATACTTGAAGCATCCAGTCCTAAAACTTGGCTAGCTCCAAGTTAACTGCCCATCGGGTCTTGTGGGATGTACTGTTTGCTGGAGATGAGTGCTTCACAGATGGCACTTTCTGTGGAGTGGTAGATGAGAAGTATTTGCATAAATTGCCCATGGTACCAGAAACTCCCAAACAAGAAATATAGAAAGCTTTGGATTTTGTAGGATTTGTGTGTCCGCTGCACTTCTGGGTGTATTTTTAGGTTGTACATGCTGAAGCAGGGACTGCCTCAATCTACCTAAGCAATGCAACTGCAGCATTTATTTGCCAGCCACAGATTACTTTAGCACCATATGGACTACTGCCTCCCATTAGTAATTTGTGTAATTTGACTGACCTTTGATGATTATTACAAGGCAAACAGTGATCCAGAAAGGAAGGGACCTATAGCTTGAGACCCTTCCAAACTGATTCTGCCAAATTGCTTTAATTGACACTTGATCTGGTCCAGGTGCTTGCTGAAGTCTTGTGCCAGGGTCAGAAGTGACTTGTACGTATTGTAAAAATACAAACTGCAGCCAGGCTTTTCCCCCTCCCTCCAAACACCAAAATGGCTGCAAGAGGGATAAATGAAGCCTGAGAGCGCTCTACTGGCCTTCTAGGCGTGCCTGCAGTAGAATAGTAGGTGGTCCTGGCCTCGACACTGACTAGCACAACCCTTCCCAGGTCTGCAGAGGAGATGAAGCACATGGAGGAAGTCTCTAAGTTGTTCCATGGCAGTGGGGCAGAGCACCAGAAGCTGGTTTCCAAATCTCATGTGGATATAACAGCTGCTCACGAAGAGCATCCCTGGGAGATGGTGATGGACAAGAAACACTTCAAGCTGTGGAGGCGTCCGATAGAGGGAACCCACCTGTATCAGTACAGAGGTAATTCCGCCCTCCTCCTTGCCTCACCATGTGTTATCAATTGCAGTATGATGCCTGTTGAGACTTTGTGCATGGTGTGCCTGGCTCTCAAATGCTGAGCAAAAGTTCAGTGTAGCCTACCCTAAAACCTCCTTCCTCCCTCCTCTCCTGACTTCACTTTGCTCCCTTTCCCAACTTCTCACTGGAATTCTCCCTTCTCCCCCATATTGTCCCTCTTTCTGGTCACACCCTCTTCTCCTCTCTGTAGTGTGATTCCAGCTCTGATAGCTGATTCTGGAAAATACCTATCTCGTGATCCACTGACCTGAGATACAAACTGGCTTATATCTGTGGTCTCAAGACTCTTTCTTTCCCTTTACTGCAGTCTTTGGGACATACACAGATGTGACTCCCAGGCAGTTCTTCAATGTGCAGGTGAGTGTTTCTGGGTCCATATCTCTTAAGCCCAGGATACATGATGTGTTGGGAATAAAATATGGCTTTCCACTCTAGCACTTGACAGTCCCAGATTAAGGTGTCATTAGAAGAGGTTTTGGAAAAAATTAATAAACTAAACAATAAGAAGTCATCAAGACCAGACAGAGTCACCTAAGAGTTTTTAGAACTCCTATGTGAAATTGCAGAACTACTAACTGTGGTTTGTAACCTTTCCTTTAAATCATCTTCTGTATCAAACAACTGGAGGATAGTTAATGTGTCGCCAGTTTTTAAAAAGGGCTCTAGAGCAGTGTTTCTTGTAAGCTGGGTGCTTGTGTGGCCACTCAGGAGAGACTCAAATGCCACCCAGTTGATTAGCAGAGCTCCTACAGCTAAATATTTTTGTTACTAATGGTGGTGTGTACATGCCTTGGTGTGTACACAATTTATTCTGCACATGCATGGAAAAGATTAAATGGAACATTGCTCTAGAATTCATTCTGACAATTAGAGATGTAAAAGTGTGTACATATAAGTGGTTAACCAATGAGCCTGATAGAGGCAGCAGCAAGAGGAGAGGGGGAGGCAGCTTCCTGGGAGCTGGCTCTCCCCTCCACCTCCTGTAAACGTGTAACCACTGACATTTTCAGCGGTTACATATTTTCCTTAATAAATGCATTTAACAACGTCCCTATGGGCATCTACAGGCCGGTAAAACTATTTTTAAAATGGTTGAAACTGTAGTATAACACAATTTGCTGGGGAAGAGTCAACATGGTTTCTATACAGGGAAATCATGCCTCACCAATCTACTAGAATTCTTTAAGGGGGCAAGGATTAACTAGAAATGGACAGAAGGATCCAGTGGATATAGCGTACTTATATTTCCTGATAGCTTACTCTGCTTAAGAGGCTTTGGCGAGTGACCTTGTCAAAGGCTATCATGGGATAAGAGGGAAGGTCCTCTCATGGGCTGATAATTGGTTAAAAGATAAGAAATAAAGGATAGGGTAGGAAAAAGTCCATTTTCAGAATGGAGATAGGTGTCTAGTAGTGTCCCCCACTTTAATTTAATGTCATAAACGAACATTCCACAGTCATTCTGCCCCTACTCATCTCATTGTTGAAACACCCTTGCTGCTGTTCAGATTTCCAGTGTGATGCTTCAGGAGCCATGGGAGTGAGGGATACACCGTGTTTCCTAGGATCACTGGGGGTATTTCAACATTCCCCATTGGAATTTTCTGTTGTGTAAAGAAAGTCCCAGCTTGCAGCTTTCCATATAGGCCAGTGTTCCCAAAGATGTGACATGCAGTTTCTCAGACCACCCTGCATTGATGTCAGTGAAATGCCTGCAGTGATCAACAAGAGCCTGCAATGCCATCAAAAAGTACCCATTTCTATTGATGTACTTCATCGTAAGATGGTCTGAAACCAAAATCGGAATGTGTGTTCCATCAATTGCCCTACTATAGTTAGGGAACTTCATTGTAGCAAAGTCATCAGCTATTTCACGCACATTGCCAAGAGTCATGGTCTTTTGTAGCAGGATGTGATAAATGGCCTTGCACACTTGCATCAACACAGCCCCCACTGTCAACTTGCTAACTCCAATCTGATTCACAGCTGACTATTAGCAGACTATGAATTCACCAGCTTCCACGCTGCTGTTTCCACGTAATTCTCCACTGAAGTGCTCTCGCATTGGTGTTCTTGTGTCGCAGGGCTGGAATGAGCTCTACACAAAATTCCAGAAAGCTGGCTTTCTGCATCGGAAAGTTCTGCAGCCACTGTTTATCATTCCAGACCTTCATAATGATGCAGTCCCTCCGCTCAGTGCTTGTTTCTCATGCTCAAAAGCATCAGCCCACCATGTGCAGATGTTCTGTGAATGCTCAATCAGTAATCTGGTGGTGTTTCTTTCCATGGCACCCAGCAAGTTTGGCACCTCTGATTCCTGTTCAGATGGGGGGCTCATAATATATTGCATGTCTGTTTGCATTTTGTTCAGAACAGTGAGCTCACAGTAGAGAGGAATGTGGGATCTATCCTTTCACACAGAGATGGCAGGTGCTACTTACACAGGAAGTGCACTTGTTGGGAATTACAGTCTAGATAGAGCTGCTATAAGGCAGGTGCATAACTGAAGAAATGGTCTGAGGTAAATAAGATGAAATTCAATAAGGACAAATGCAAAAAATTCCACTTAAGGAACAACGTTCAGTTTCACACATACAAAATGGGGAATAACTGTCTCGGAAAAGAAGTACAGCAGGAAGGGATCTAGGAGTCATAGTGGACCACAAGCAAACATGTTGTAAGCAAGATACAAGACGTAATTCTTCTGTTCTACTCTGCACTCTCTAGGCCTCAACTGGCATATTGTGTCTAGTTCTGGGTGCCACATTTCAGAAAAGATGTGGACAAATTGCAGAAGATGCAGAGAGGAGCAATTAAAACGATAAAGGTCTGGAAAACATGACATATGAGGAAAGATTGAAAGAATTTGATTTATTTAGTCTGGAAAAGAGATGGCCGAGAGGGGACATAATAGCTTTCAAGCACCTAAAAGGGTAGTCTCCTTAACCTCTGGGGATTGAAAAAGAAGGAACAGGCTTAAATTGCATCAAAGGAAGTTTAGGTTGGACCTTAGGAAAAACTTCCTGTCAGGGTGGTTAAGCACTGGAATAAATTGGCTAGAGAAGCTGTGGAATCTCAGTCATTGGAAAATTAAGAGCAGGTTAAATAAGCACCTGTCAGGAATAGCTTTAGATGGTGCTTGGTCCTGCTATGAATGCAGGGCACTGGATCTCAACTCTCAAGGTTCCTTCCAGTTATATTCTATTATTATTAAACCTTAAGTGAAGTGTCACTATCTTTAGAAATCTCACATTGGTACCATCTTTGTGTTTTGTCAGATCTGCAGTGAAAGTGTTCTTTAAATTAATAACGTGCTGGGTCATCATCTGTGATTGCTATAACATGAAATATATGGCAGAATGTGGGTAAAACAGAGCAGGGTACAGAATTCTCCCCCAAGGAGTTCAGTCACAAACTAATGCATTATTTTTTTTAACGAGTGTCATCAGCATGGATGCATATCTTCTGGAATGGTGGCTGAAGCATGATGGGACATACGAATATTTAGCATGCCTGCTACATAAATACCTAGGAATGTCAGCTACAAAAGGGCCATGTGAATGCATGTTCTCACTTTCTCGTGACCTACATGAACAGGGAGAGTGTTTCTCTTGCAAGTATAATCAGACTTGTTTGTCTTATTGATAGGCTGAATGAGAAGTAGGACTGAGTGGACTTACAAGCTCTGCAATTTTATATTCTGTTTTTGAGTGCAGCTGTGTAACAAAAATCTACATTTGTAAACTGAACTTTCAGAACAAAGATTGTATTATAGTACTTGTATAAGGTGAATTGAAAAATACCGTTTATCATTTTTACAGTGCAGATCTTTGCAATGAACAATAATATGCACTGATTTAAATTACAGCACAGAATACAATACATATGAAAATGTAGTATTGTAAAAATAGCAAACATTTTTAATACATTTCAGTTGCTATTCTGTCTATAACTTAGTTTCTGTACACCCAAAGTGTGGAGTTCTGGCTGACAGCTCTGATAGGGAGCTGCATGCAGACAGAGAAGTCAGGCCAGTCTCCAGTCCTGGGCAACATGCATATAAGGTAGGAGAACACACATCCCAGACTGAATTCTTTACTGTAAAGGATCCTCTTTTCTCATTCGACAGAGGTCCCGTCCCCCTCTCTCCACCAGACGTTGCTCCATCACACATCAATTGCATGCGTTATGACTCTATATTCACCATGGAAAAAGACAAACTCAGGGATTATTTTAATTCAAGTGCTGAATTTCAGTTGATGGCAAAACGCAGCGCAAATGGTGGAGCCTTACTAAAATCCTGAGCCCTATTGTTTCTTTTCAGTCCTATGCTTTGCTGCTATATGTTGCTCTTTTAAGTAGATCGACACTCATAGCAGCCCCAGCAGCAACCTCCAGCAAGCTCTCTCCATCCTGCTCCTGAGCTCTTTTGCCTCCTATCCTGTCCTCTGGCTCTGCAAAGATGGAGTACAGAGAAGGACACCCTGATATCAGCACCCCTCTTCCCCTATCTTACCCCTCCCCCACTTTGCACAGTAAGCAGGAGGCTTCTGAGGGTAACTCCAAGGCAGAGGGCAGGAGCAGCATGGCAGTGGGGAAACACCTGAAGTGCACAACACTTAATAGCTTGCTGGCTGGCCATGCAGTTCAGAGGAAACTTAGATCACCAAGAAGATTCTAGTGTTTGCAGAGAACTTTTTTTGTATGATCTGTTGTAGGGCTGTGGAGTGTGACTTGAACACCTCCCATCCCCGTTCCCCCTCAGTATAGCATCATCTTCCCAGAACAGCCTTCTAGAAGGGAAAAGCTGTCAAGTTCTGTGGCCACTGCTGCAGTGACCATCCCCACCATTGTGTGCTGCTTCCTAGAAAAAGTATCTAGGGCTTATAAATGTCCAATAACACTGCTTGGCTCCCAAAAGCAGTATTTATTTGTGGCAGATAGAGCTTGGCTTTTCCACGGTATAAGGAACTGCTCATTTGTTTACTCTGGGAAGAGGGGTATCGCCTCCAGCCAGAACCTTGACAACCAGAATCCCACTACAGCTTCATGACACAATTATCAAATGTTTTTCACTTGTTCCACAGCTGGACACTGAGTACAGGAAGAAATGGGATTCACTGGTCATCAAACTGGATGTAATTGAGAGAGACCTGACCACTGGCTCGGAAGTGGTTCACTGGGTAACTCACTTCCCTGTGAGTATTCCTCCTCCCTTCCCCCTGTCTTTTTTCTTATGGCTTGTTTGCTATTGGGAAGGGACTGATTTGCATGTCTCTATTTCATTAGTACCCGATGTATTCACGAGACTACGTGTATGTGCGGCGGTACGACGTGGACCAGGAAAACAACCTGATGGTGCTGGTGTCGCGGTTTGTATTGCCGGGGCATTCTTAATGCCATAGCATGAGGTGGGGTTATCCTGAGACCCGCTATCACCGGCAAAGATAGCATTAGCATTGCTTCTTCTATAGGCCTTGTTTTTTTGCCCTGCTTCACCTGGGTCAGTGGTTGTTGTCAGTGCTACCAGCCATGCCTATAAATGATTGCCTGGCACTTCCCATTATAAGATCTCCTCTCCAAAATTGTCATGTGCTGGTGCAGCTGTTTCCAAGAGTGAAGTTAGGGGAAGCCATTTTGTGGTATTAAATACTGATGCCCTGCTCTTTGAAAAGCTCTGTTGTCCCTGCATCTTGGAGGAGGGACTTGAAATTTGGCAGGAAAAGTAGATTTTGTACCAAGGATGTGCCTTTAGCTGATCCTATAAAAATTGGTCTTAATTTGGTCGAGTTCTTTGAAAAATACCATAAAAGAGTGGTCCTGTAGCACCTTAGAGACTAACAAACAGTCATGAGCTTTTGTGGGTACAGCCCATTTCTTCAGATGAGTGGAGCAAGAGGCACAGAGAGGTACAGAAATCCCTCTTTTTCTACTTTAATTTTTGGGATTTCTGTACCTCTATATGTCTTTTGTTCCACTCAGCTGAAGAAATAGGTTGTGCCCACAAAAGCTCATGATATTACATAAAAATTGTTTGTTAATCTCTAAGGTTTTTTAAGTTACAAACTAACATGGCTACCCTTCTGAGACCTGAAAAATACTAGTTCACACATGCAGAGTAGCAAGATTGGAGCTTTAGTAAGCTAAAATCTTGAAAGAATTCATGTGCCCTGAGTGTGCTTCATCATCTTCAGCTTATAGTGTGACCAGGATTTGCATGTGCCATCCCCACAGTATGAGTATCCTGGAGCCCTGGACTGGATGGAATGAAACTGGATTTTCCTTGCTATTGGCAGCTTTGTCAAAGTTGTACCGGGCATCCTAATTGAGAGCAAGGAGCCCCTCTCTTGTACTTTTGAATGACTATCATGTTGGCACCCAGGCAGTGTGAAGGAGGAAGCATGTGACTCAGATGCTGGGGGAGGGGAGGGGAAGAGCTGAATCTGGGAGAGTGAGGAGAGTATGCTGGAACAAGAAGCCTTGAAGTAGACATGGGGAGTGGGATGGTGCTAGGGTTGCAGAGAAGAGAGTGAATGAGAAGTCTAGGAGCCAGTAGGAATGAGGAACATGGGTGAGGGAGGAGGGACTAGATGTCAGTGAGCAGGAAGAAGATTGGGCTGGCAGGAATGTGGGGGACAGTTGGAAATAGCTGGGCAAGGAGATTGGGGATGGAGACCCTAGACGGGGTGGAGTCGGGGACTGACTTGGTGAGGAGAATAGAATGGGGCAAAGAGCCATGGGTGAGGGTAGGATTGGATGGGGGCAGGGCAGTAAAGTTCTTGGATGCCTGGCAGAGAATGGGCAGAAGTGGCTCCACTTGAGCCTCAATGCAACCTTAATTCAGTCTCTTGTGCCTGGGCCCTAGCATTTAGTGTCCAGTCACATGGATATATGCTGGTTTTCCCACTGATCCCTATGTGTGATTATGCAGTAAAATGACAATAGCGATGTATAAATAGATACTCAGACATGGTCCCTGCCTGAGGTGCTTCCAGTGTAGGTCTGAAGGCAGACAAGGGCACGGGGGAGAGAGGAAAGTTTAGATAAGACCAACTGGTTATTTTTCATTTTGCAGTGTGTCAGTTGTGTTGCACTTGTTTGCTGTGGTGGTGTGGGGGGCTTGTTTGGAGATGGTAGGCTTTGAGGAGGTATTTGAAGAAGAGTCTGAAGATCCTTCCAGGAGAGTGTAAGAGAGGGGCTTTGTGGGAGGCCATGAAGGAAGCTGGAATTGACTGGGCACAGGGCATAAGCAGCGGCGCTTGGATTCTGCTATCGCTGCATGTGCCTTCTGCCCAGAGATCCATGGAATAGCCTCTGCTTGGCTCGCTGAAGGACGAGCTGTGCTCTTGGTATAATAGTGGAGGAAAGGAAGAGAACTTTGCAGGGGAGGTGGCTCCAAAATTGGAAAGGCTACAGAAGCCATTCTGTCTTGTCTAGATTGGTGAAGAGGAGCCCAGTCTCTAGATACCTCTGGGCTAGGAGAGTACATTGGGAAGGACTATCTTTCTATGTGTTTTTCATATACGCACAATGACTAAGGATGCCTTATCAGTGGCAGGGTAGATAATAGGGCAGGTCAGTTTCCTGTTTTCCAGGCTACTTATGTGAACTTGGGCAAGTCACTTCATGTCTCTGCCTCACTTTCCCCATTGGTAAATTAGGGATGATATTATCTTTTGTAAAACACGGAGTTACATACTACTGTTATAAATGGGCAACTGGAGCCTCTCTAAATGACTGCAGAATTTCTATGAGCTCTCTCTGCCTGCCCTGGCCCTGCACTACTTCTGGATGCAGCTGTCATGTCTAACGGCAGCACTGCACGGAGCCCAGGATTAGCTGTGTGGTGCTTGCCATGGCTCCCTGAGGCACTTGCCCCAGCTCCATGCAGCACTGCCCCTTTGAAATGCTGTGGCGGCATTTCAAAGGGGCAGCGCTGCCCTATCGACTAATCAAATAGTCGATGCAAAAATGAATCGACTATTCAATTAGTGAATTACACTATACCCTTAGACATGTCCCTGTGGCCTCTGGGGGGGTAGGTGGGTTCTGGCCAATGGGAGCTGTGCAAGGGCAGCGCGTGCATCTTCCCCGATCACCACAGGCCAGTGCTTTTAGCTCCAGCCCAGTGCCAGAGGTTCCCTACCCCTTGTTTATACCGAAATCTTAAGTTAACCTCAGGAAGAGTTACCTGGTGCTATAAATGCCCTTTCCCTTGCATATACTCCAGAGCGGTGGAGCATCCAGGTATCCCAGAAGATCCCGAGTTCGTGCGAGTCCGAACCTATGAATCCCAAATGGTTATCCGACCACACAAGACATTTGATGAGGTGAGTTCCTGGCCAGTCTGGAAAAGCTGTGGAACAGTCACCTGTTGTTGACACCTGCCCAGGTGGAGGCTGAGTCAGAATAGCAGCTTTCCTGACAGGTGGTAACTGAATATACTGACTAGAGCTCTGCGCTCTGCAGCTGTTTGTTCACACAAGGGTACATTGTAGATCTAAGTATGAAGGGGATATCTCTGTGGATTCCTTTAGCCCAGGGGTGGGGATCCTTTTTTGGACTGGGGGCCATTGACCCACGGAAAAATCAGTTGGGGGGCTGCATACAAGTGAAAAGTGCAAAAAACCAAATAAACCATGCAATTGCTTGCCCTTCGTGTGAGGAAGTCTTGTTTTTGCATTCTGTGGATCAGCTCTCTGAAATCCTGAAACCACCAGCCTTTGGCAGTACAAGTACCCCATGGGCCTTGTGCTGCCTGTACAGGTAGCATCAATCCAGGAGCCCTCAGTGTGTTTCCTGTGATACACAGGCAGCAGAGTGGGGCAGCCTCAGATTCTGTCTGCGGGAGCCCCAAGCTTCCCATAGACAGAGGCTGCCCCAGAATCCCATAGAGCAGCCCTGGTCTGTGGCGAGCCAGGCCCACTGCAGATAGAGGCAGCAGCATGCAGCTCCGCAGAGCCAGTGCTTGTGAGGAACCAGCTTTTAAGCAGGCTTCCTCTGAGTACTGACTCCCACATGCCCCCTTCCTTTGCTGCCTCTGATACAGATCTTGGAGTTATTCCCTCCCCTTTGAATTTTATGCTCTTATTTCTGCACTCCATAACTCTAATTTTATTGCTGCTATGCATTGTTCCAAAGGCCTCATCTGCTGCCTCACTCAGATCCTCTTTCTGCTCAGGGCTTTGTGGTATGGTTAGAGTAAATGACAGACTTACCCTTAACTCTCCCAGGAAGGAGCTGGGTAAATATACTGTCTTCATATGAGAAAAATAGGGCAAACAAGTGAATCAACTTGTCTAAGCGACTTGAAACTGGGGGTAGAGTTGATGATCTCAATGCTGTGAGCCCAACATTGCTTCCTCCATGTCACTTCTGCCTCATTTATAGGTATCCATTAAAGCCCTGTGTGTCAGCCTTCTCCTGCTTCAATTGAAGAGAGACTGAAGGAAGAAAATTATTCAGATTTAAAACATATAGAACATATAGTGCCAGTAGTATCTGCAGAGATACTAGTCAGAATTTTGATACATTTGCTTTCAATGCTCCTATTTCCTGGTTACAAGTGGCATCCAGGAGGAAGGTTCTCTGTATGGTATTGTGCCACTAAAACAGCGTCCTGAGAGTCATCCTGCACTGGAGACTGGCTGAGAAGGGCTGTTTTAGGTACAGGGCATCCCTGCTATAAGTTGTCCAGGTCTACATCGGTTCCATACTAACATCTTTGGTGCTTGTAGGAACTGATGTTTGTCATTTTGCTATACATCCACTTTTTTTTTAAACATATCTTGGATGTATAGCGAGGAACCCCTGAGGTAGCTTTGTAGGATCATCCTGGCTGTCAAAAGGTTCCTGTAAAAGATCAGGTATCGCTAAACTTATTTCTCTTGCAGAATGGCTTTGACTACCTGCTGACATACAGTGACAATCCACAGACAGTATTTCCGCGCTACTGTGTCAGCTGGATGGTCTCCAGTGGTAAGTTGCTGGTGCTAACCCTTTGGGGGTAGAGAGAAGATCTCTGACTTGCAAGAAAGTGTGTGCATGCATGAATTCACTCTGGATTTGGTTCTGGGGTCTGTCTACTTTGAGTGGCAAAAGCCCTCCATCCTCTTTCGTTCTGGAATGAAAGCTGTGGGTGAAGGCTTGGGGGATGTTTCTGGAGAACCTGGCCTGTTTTGGCCAGAGCAGCCTCCCCTTTGGAGATATCAGTAGGTAAAGGGCCTCAGGACTCGGCTATTGGTTCTGCATAAAGTAATTATTCATGTCCATTCCAGAGTGGGTGTGTGTGCTCACCACGTGCACCAGTGCCGGAAGTTTTCCCCTTAGCAGTACCTGTAGAGGAGTGCCTCTAGCAACCCCTGCAGTGGCCCCTACATGCACACTCTCCCCCTCCCCGCCCTTGTTGCCTCCAGTGACACTGCTGAAACATTGCTTGCTGCAGCTAATGCTGTCACCATTCTCTCAACTCTCTGTTCTCAGATAGTTTTCCCATTAGAAGTAGTACCATTGAATAACAGACAATCAGTGTCCCTCCTGGGACTTTACCCTAGGTTGGGACATGCCCCATTCCTTGGACTTCAAAGTTTGTGAGTTGCAAATGGCCTATGCCAGTAAGTGACCCTCATTGGAGTTGCCTGGGTGAGGGCCTCATCAGGGAATATTTGCAAATCTTTTAAACCACAGGCCAAAAAGGAATGGGACACTTACCTGCAAACTATCCTGGCCCTGGGACTGGAGTACTATTCCGATTCAGCTCTGAACACTGTATCTCTGGAGCACAGCACACTAGGCAGTACGTTCAAGTACTCACCATTGACAGTCCTGGCTAAACAAGCCAGGAAGGCGCAGTGGAACAGATCTCCATCCTCCTCAAACAGTGAATTGGGGACGAGCAGGTCCCTATCCCCCTTGGGTCCTCAGGCCATAGTTCAGGTGGAGCGGAGTAGTCCAGCCCACACAGCACTGGCTTCCCTGCAGGATGAGGGAAACCGTAGCCAGCTACAGGTGCCATCATATCAAGCTTGGTGCTGTCCCCTCAGACCCAGGCAGTGCTTTGCTCTGGGATAAAGCCTCACCTTGGACTGTTTGCAGTCTTCACATTGCCAGCGAAACATCGATGCACCTCTCCCCTCCAAGCAGTTGCCATGAAGTGTGTTGTGGCAGGCAAGCCCCACTGACCCCCTTGTCACTATCTGTCTGGGAGTCCAGGTTGAAGGGGGTCAAGGCACAATATGGCCAAGTTTGAGAACTTCCTCTAGGAGGAGGCCAAGAAGGAGGGCCCTCCTCAATGAGGGCACGACAACAGCTAGGGCAGCTCTTCAGATGGCATCTGACAAGGCTGATTTGGCCATCCAAACCACGGCATTCATGATAATTGTGCACAGAGCATCTTGGTTGTTCCTCTCCAGCCTTTCCAGTGAGGCCCAGAACTCCCTGCGGGATCCTCCCTTCAGTGGGTAGGCCCTCTTTGCCACACAGCTTCAGGGGCTCATGTATGACCTTGAGAACACTGGGCTTTTATGGCCATTGTCAAGAGGCTCAGAGCCAGGCAACTCTTTCCTGTCAGGAACCCCCCCTCAGAAATACAGGAGCTATAAGAAATGCTCCTTCCAGCTATCCAGCAGGGGGAGAACTCAGCAAAGGAGAGACAGAGCCTCCCTGCCGTAGGTTCCAGTGGCTCGGCAACAGCTCAGAGGAGCAATTGCAAGGGAAGTGGTGATCAGCCCCAGGGTGAAGGGCCTTTCTCTTATTTCCTGGGAATGACAAATAGTGGCGGTAAAGTGATAAAGCATAGACTCATAGACTCATAGACTTTAAGGTCAGAAGGGACCATTATGATCATCTAGTCTGACCCCCTGCACAGTGCAGGCCACAGAATCTCGCCCACCCCTCTTAGAATAATCCTCTCACCTATGTCTCAGATATTGAAGCCTTCCAATACTTTGAAGGCCCCAACATGCAGAGAGTCCTTCAGCTGTGATCTGTGCCCAATGCTACAGAGGAAGGCGAAAAACCTCCAGGGCCTCTGCCAATCTACCCTGGAGGAAAATTCCTTCCTGACCCCAAATATGGCGATCAGCTAAACCCTGAGCATGTGGGCAAGACTCACCAGCCAGACACCCAGAAAGTTCCCTATAGCAACTCCTATCATCCCTCCATTGACCTATTTCCAACTGGAAATGAATGGTCAATTAGTTACCAAGATCATGTTATTTCATCCAACCATCCCCTTATCATAGAATCAGAACTGGAAGAGACCTCAGAAGGTCGTCAAGTCCAGCCCTCCGCTCTAGGCAGGACCAATCCCATCTAAATCAACCCGGCCAGGGCTTTGTCAAGCCGAGACTTAAACACCTCTAGGGATGGAGACTCCACTACTTCCCTAGGTAACCCATTCCAATGCTTCACTACCCTCCTAGTAAAATAGTTTTTCCTAATATCCAATCTGGACCTCTCCCACCACAACTTGAGACCATTGCTCCTTGTTCTGCCATCTGTCACTACTGAGAACAGCCTCTCTCCATCCTCTTTGGAACCTCCCTTCAGGAAGTTGAAGGCTGCTATCAAGTCCCCCCTCACTCTTCGCTTCTGCAGACTAAACAGACCCAAGTCCCTCAGCCTCTCCTCGTAGGTCATATGCTCCAGACCCCTAATCATTTTGGTTGCCCTCCGCTGGACCCTCTCCAATGCGTCCGCATCCTTTTTGTAGTGGGGGGCCCAGAACTGGACACAGTACTCCAGATGTGGCCTCACCAAAGCCGAATAAAGGGGAATAATGACATCTCTGGATCTGCTGGCAATGCTCCTCTTAATGCATCCTAATATGCCATTAGCCTTCTTGGCTACAAGGGCACACTGTTGACTCATATCTAGCTTCTCATCCACTGTAACCCCCAGGTCCTTTTCTGCAGAACTACTACTTAACTGGTTGGTCCCCAGCCTGTAACTATGCTTGGGATTCTTCCGTCCCAAGTGCAGGACTCTACACTTGTCTTTGTTGAATCTCATGAGATTTCTAGTGGCCCAATCCTCCAATTTGTCTAAGTCACTCTGGACCCTATCTCTGCCCTTAAGCGTATCTACCTCTCCCCCTAGCTTAGTGTCATCTGCAAACTTGCTGAGGGTGCAATCTATCCCCTCATCCAGGTCATTAATAAAGATATTGAACAAAACCGGTCCTAGAACCGAACCTTGGGGCACTCCACTAGAAACCGACCTCCATCCTGACATCGAACCGTTGATCACTACCCGCTGGGCCCGGCCTTCTAGCCATCTTTCTATCCATCTTACCGTCCATTTATCCAATCCGCATTCCCTTAACTTGCTGGCAAGAATATTGTGGGAGACCGTATCAAAAGCCTTGCTAAAGTCAAGGTATATAACATCCACTGACTTTCCCATGTCCACTGAGCCAGTTACCTCATCATAGAAGCTAATCAGATTGGTCAAGCACGACTTGCCCTTTGTGAATCCATGCTGACTATTCCTGATCACTTTCCTCTCATTCAAGTGTCTCAAAATGGATTCCTTTAGGATCCCTTCCATGATTTTTCCAGGAACCGAGGTAAGACTGACCGGCCTATAGTTCCCTGGATCGTCCTTCTTCCCTTTTTTGAAGATGGGCACTACATTTGCCTTTTTCCAATCATCCGGGATTTCGCCCGATCTCCACGACTTTTCAAAGATAATGGCCAAAGGCTCCTCAATGACATTTGCCAACTCCTTCAGTACCCTTGGGTGCATTAAGTCTGGACCCATGGATTTGTGTACGTTTAGTTTTTCTAAATAGTTCCTAACCTGTTCTTTACCCACCAAGGGCTGTCCATCTTCTTCCCATCTTGCGTCGCTTAGCACAGAAGTCCAGGAGCCGACCTTGTCCGTGAATACAGAGGCAAAGAAAGCATTGAGTACTTCAGCTTTCCCCACATCCTCTGTCACTAGGTTACCTCCTTCATCCATTAGGGACTGCACACCCTCTCTGATCACCTTCTTCTTGTTGACATGCCTGTAGAAACCTTTCTTGTTATCCTTCACATCCTTAGCCAGTCGCAACTCCATTTGCGCTTTCGCCTTCCTGATAACCCCCCGGCATTCTCGAACTATACATTTAAGCTCCTCCCTAGTCATTTGTCCAAGTTTCCACTTTCTGTAAGCTTCCTTTTTGTGCTTAAGTACACCAAGGATTTCCCCTGTAAGCCAATCTGGTCTCCTACCAGGTTTGCCTCTCTTGCTACGTGTCGGGATGGTTTCTTTTTGTGCCTTCAATAAGGCTTCTTTAAAATACTGCCAGCTGTCCTGGACTCCTTTCCCCTTCATGTTAACATCCCAGGGGATTCTTTCCATCAGATCTCTGAGGGAGTCAAAATCTGCTTTTTTGAAGTCCAAGGTGTGTATTTTACTACTCTCTTTCCTTCCTTTGGTCAGGATCCTGAAATCTACCATCTCATGATCACTGCTTCCCAGGTTGTCACCCACCTCTACGTCCCCTATTAGTTCCTCCCTGTTTGTGAGGAGAAGGTCAAGCTGTGCACGGCCCCTGGTCGGATCCTTCAGCACTTGTACCAAGAAGTTATCCCCAACATTCTCCAAAAACTTCCTGGATTGCCTGTGTACTGCCGTATTGGTTTCCCAACAGATGTCAGGGTGATTAAAGTCCCCCATGAGAACCAGGGCCTGCGATCTGGAAGCTTCGCTCAGTTGTTCGAAGAAAGCCTCATCTACCTCATCCACCTGGTTCGGTGGCCTGTAGCAGACACCAACCACAACATCACTGCTGTTTGCTCCTTTAAACCTGACCCATAGACTTTCAACAAGTTTTTCTCCCTCTTTATACTGGAGTTCAGAGCAATCGTAGTGCTCTCTTACATATAGTGCAACTCCTCCTCCTTTTCTCCCCTGCCTATTCTTCCTGAACAATCTATACCCTTCCATGACAGCGCTCCAGTCATGCGAGTCATCCCACCAAGTCTCTGTTATCCCAATTAAATCATATTTCTTGGTCTGGGCCAGGGCCTCCAGTTCTTCCTGCTTGTTGCCCAGGCTTCTCGCATTAGTGTACAAACACTTCAGGTAACCAGTTGATTGCACTATCTTCTCCATTCGAAACTGGGGTCCTCCTTTCTCGCTCCTTGCTCTATGCATGTTCAGTGCAGATAATTTGCACAGGGACCACACAGGTCCCATTCCTTCAAGACCCTTCTGCAAAGCATGGGGTTGGTAGAGTTCTCAGTGAAATGCTTGGAAGACTTGTTTTAACTAACCTCCTCTGAAATGGCTGAACAGATACATTCATCCAGAGGCAGATGCCTCCCACGAGAACATTTCAACCTAAAATGTTTGGCATGTTTTTAAGCAGCTGACAAGAAGGTATTGTAATGTAAAGTATTGGATAACCTTAATGTAGCTTAGCTGCTTCAGCCCCCACCAGTTAATTGGAACTGGTATACATCTCCCATTAAGGTTAACCTTTCACATCCCCACTGATAATGCAACCCAGAATACTTGCTTGTCACCTATTTACAGACAGAGGCCAGCAGTTAATGTTAAGTGCTAGCAGTCTGGTTCCATTTGGTTTAGATGGAGCCTATCCTTCCTGTATAGGTTCCTCCTATCCCAAAAGTTTCCCCATTTCCTAATAAATCTAAACCTCTCCTCTTTACACCATTGTCTCATCCACGCATTGAGACTCTGAAGCTCTGCCTGCCTATCTGGCCCTGCGCGTGGAACTGGAAGCATTTCAGAGAATGCTACCATAGAAATCGCCTTCCTAGCAGCCTAAATTTGGCCTCCAGAACCTCTCTCCTACCCTTCCCTATGTCACTGGTACCTACATGTACCACAACCACTGGCTTCTCCCCAGCACTACACATAAGTCTATCTAGATGTCTTGAGAGATCTGCAACCTTTACACCAGGCAGACAAGTCACCATACAGTTCTCCCGGTCATCACAAACCCAGCTATCTATGTTTCTAATGCTCCAATCTCCCATTACTAACACCTGCCTTTTCCTAATGACTGGAGTTCCCTCCCCTGGAGATGTATCCTCAGTTTGAGAGGATACGACAACATCGTCTGGAAGGAGCGTTCCAACTATGGGATCGTTTCCCTCTGCTCCAGTTGACTGTTCTCCTTCCTGAGCCTTTCATCCTTACAGCACAGGGGCTGTCTGACTAGAGGTGGGACAGTTCTACATGTCCCGGAAAGCCTCTTCTACATACTATTTGGCCTCCCTTAGCTTCTTCAATTCAGCCACTCTGGCCTCCAAAGCCCGTATGTGTTCTCTGAGGGCCAGGAGCTCCTTGCATCGAATGCACACATACTCCACCAGTCCATACATGCCATATTGGGTGCAATCATGCATAGTATCCCACCAAGTCTCTGTGATACTAGCTATGTCGTAGTTGAGTTTATTTACTAGTATTTTAAGTTCTTCCTGCTTATTCCCGATACTTGTTGCATTAGTATGCAGGCAGCTAAGAAACTGATTTGATTTTGCCCCTTCTCTGGTTCTGCCTTCTCTCCTTTTATCCCTGCTATTACAGCAAATGCGCGCCCCCTCCCTCTCCCAATTTCTGACCCATCTCCCAGGTCTCCATGTTTTTTACTGCTATGGTCCTACCAAGTCTTTCTAGATTTGATGGCATCTCAGTGGAGAAGAGTGTACACCTTCCTGTGTGAGTGCAGTGTGTTTGTTGCCCCTTCTCTGGTTCTGCCTTCTCTCCTTTTATCCCTGCTATTACAGCAAATGCGCGCCCCCTCCCTCTCCCAATTTCTGACCCATCTCCCAGGTCTCCATGTTTTTTACTGCTATGGTCCTACCAAGTCTTTCTAGATTTGATGGCATCTCAGTGGAGAAGAGTGTACACCTTCCTGTGTGAGTGCAGTGTGTTTGT